TCACACACACACATGCTCGTGTGCTGACGGAGTGTCCGTCACTCACGGCAGACTGTCCATCAAAATCGGGTGACATCTGTCCCATGCAATTTGTTGTGCTATCAACACCTCACCCACCCGGGCCTACTTGTCATCACCTCACCCTCTCACAAAATAGCCAACCAGCCCCCTCCCTCTCTCACTCACGTTCACTCCCTCTCCTTCATCCCTCACACACACGCACAACAGAGAAGAGAGAAAGGAGAGGAAGGAAGAAGAGAGGAGAAAGGAGAAGAAAGAGAAGGGGGAGAAGATGAAGGAGAAGGAGGACGCCGGTACCTGCAGCAAGGCGACGTCGGCAAGCTCCACCACGCCATCAACCTCGCCGGAGATGGAGGAGGAGGCCCCAAGCTTCGTCTTCTTCCTCAAGCTCCCATGGTGCCCAAAGCCCGATCTCCCATCACAAGGCGTTCTAGACCGAGCTGATGTAGGAGGAGCTTCCCCAAGGTATGGTGAGAAAACCCACGACGTCCATCTTCATCTTCCCCAACCTCACATGGCCATCCCATTGAGCTCCTTGGCCTCCAATGGTGGTTAATAGGGGCGAGCTCCACAACCACCATGCATGGCACATCCATCACTTGTAGAAGCTTCCCTACATCACTAGAAAGCCATAGAAACAAACCGCACTCGATTTAGAGCCCAAATGCCCCGGGAATCGATCTCTACATCTTTGCACAGTTGTTGTTCATCATTTTGACGGATGGTCCGTTGTTTTGGCGGAGTGTCCGTTGAATTATAGCCAAACGAGATAACACCTTGTTCTTACCGGATGATCCGTCACATACAACGGAGTGTCCGATGAAACCTAAACACTTAGCAGCCACCAGTATCCTATAGACCTAATTTGACGGATGGTCCGTCATCTGGACGGAACATTCCGTTAAATTATAAACCAAACACAGAGAGGTTCCCGAGAGCACTGACCTAATACCGGAGGGTCCGATCCTATACCAGAGAGTCCGATATTCCCATAGTGTCTTTTTCCCAATAAGTCCTAGAACCACCGGACCGTCCGATATTCACGCCGGACTATCCGATAACACAAACCGATAGTCCTCTAGTGTATACATGAACACTAAGTCTTGTAACACTAGAACCAACTTTAATAAATATCATTGCATGGCATCTCATGTCTTGTACTCTCAACTCTCTTGCATGTTTCATATAATGTCATGCATACATAAGTATCTCATACATGGACATACATATAGGTATGCGATATCGGAGAGACGTCCAGTGATGTTCCAAGCTATGGGAACCTTTCTCATCCAACAGGTAGGCACCCCACTACTATGAACCCTATTTTAGATACTTAGTACTTGTCTCATTATGAGTATGCATTTCATTTGAATATGAGTAATAACTTAATGATGATTCACTAAGTTAGAACTACTCACTAATTGATTAGAGCCTGCTTTAATCAATGGGTTTGGTAACGTTTAATTGCTTACTTGCTTAGTAGCGGTAGAAGTCAAGTATGAGAAGGGAACTCATGCTTGTGCGTGTAGGATGCTACACCGGCTTAATTAACTATTAAAATGAACGAGGGTTATAACTTGTGTATCTTCCCTAATCTTGACTAAGGACTCAACCTAATCTTGATATATGAACTTGATGATCAATTTGGTTAATCTTGCTCAAGTGAGGGGTAGGTCACTATGAGTGTGGGATCTCAAGTGACTTAGCTCGCGGAACAGTTAAGGACCGTGCATTGGGATAGTGAGTCGAGTAACCACCCGTACAGACCACATATCACAAATGGGGGTGATAAGCCAAGTAACTGATTGCGGCCGGTTTGTCCGTTGAGTTGGCAAGAGGGTGTCGCTGGGAAGATGGTGGAAGCATGACCCGAGGAACTAGGAAGATGGTGAAAGCCTAACTCGGGAACCAGTCAAACCTTCCATGGACATTCTGGCCAGATTAGGGAAAGGTTGGAGACGTGAGGCAACCCTTACCTATCGCTCAAGTATGGTGGTTCATCACGTTCTTCGTGTGGGTATAGTTGTACCCTCTGTGTAGAGTCTTTCGAAAGCTTGAAGTCCTTCGGGAAGGAACCGACCGTTCTTTCTTCTATACCCATTGTAGTGCTGGGGATGAGACTAGTTTATGGGACGCATTACGATATTGATCACTTAATTATGTTACGCATTATTACACGTCATTTCTTTTACTGAACTTTATGTGCTTTTATGCAAATGTATAAACCCATTAATCCCCTTTGCATCCACCAAATATTTATGTTGGAATTAAGTCCTGCGAGTACGCAATGTACTCACGGTGCTGACGTTAAGTTATTTTGCAGGTAAAGAGCATTGGTGGCCATCTCACCCAGTCGTTGGTGGCAAAGTGAGTGAATGGTAGGAGTCGTCCAAGCTATGGTAGTGACGCCCATGGGCAAGGCGACTACTCGTTACTAGAAAGAGTGTATATCTTAGTGTAGGTGTAATCGGTAAGATGGTCATTTGGTTCACACTACGTTCAGTCCAATGTTGTATAATCAATTCATAATATTCAGCAAGACTTGTAATATATGTCTTCCGCTTATTTATGTGCTCCGATGATGAGATGTGATCTTAATCTGTGGAGGCTATCGTGGTATGATACTCAACCGGGGTCCTGGTAGTGGAGATGTGTTGCATCTCCAGGGGAGCCACCGATATTGGTTTGCTTAAATTGAGCTGGTCAAGTGGATGACACTCGATTTAGGTAAATTAACGCGGCGGGTCCTCACAGTGCGCCTCGGATCGAGAAGAGGATCCGGCTAGGGGATGTGGGGAGATTGAGAGCGCACACTGGCCAAGGGAAGAGTGGTGATTGGCTGTGCGACTGGGGGGGTTAGGGTTAGGAATGGGAATGGGGCATGCGGTTGGGTGGGGGGGTATGGGCCTTTGGGTTTTTTAGAGGTGGATCTCTCAATAGGGTTGCCTTTATAAATATCACTTATTTATAGAGGTTGTTCCTCTTAAGAGGTCCACCTCTATAAATCAATTTGCTAATGTGATCTTTGTTTGTTTGACTACTAGATGATTTGTGGAGGCAGTAAATCAAAGGTCCACATCTGTAAATCAACGTCATTATCTTTTGAAATCATTTTTGTATTAGTGTTACTAAACTTTGCATGCAATGGATAACATTTTACATGTGCATTCATTTCCCAATGAGATAGTTGATTCCTTCTTTACTGTGATACAATTGCCCACGAATATGTGCCAAAAATCTTTGGTTGCTTTACAGGTAATTTGTTTAAGTTATCAAGGTTAGCTATATAAATATTACACGACGTACTAGAATCGCACTCATGAAAACAACCAAAACTTATAAATAGCATGCAGTCATAGATAGTTAGTGGTGGGCCTAATATGAGTGAAAAGAAACTAAAAACTGAAAACAGAGAGCACATAAAGTTTGCTGTGAAGTATATATATGTGTAGCACAGTAGTCGGGATATATTTAATTATTCAGTAAAAATGTATCAGATAGCAGTAGTATCCACGCAGCCTTATTAAGTATTTTCTATTGATTATTGGAAATACTACCAATGTTTGAGTGGAATATTTGCTTTGTTTCAGTCGGTTTTGCATGATTGGGACCACGATGCCTGCGTGAAGAACTGCAGAAAAGCTATTCCTCCAAGAGAAGCCGGTGGAAAGGTTATAATAATTGGAGCTCGACCATCATCAGATTTGAAGCACAAAGAGATGCAGGCCATGTTCGATGTCTATATCATGCTCATCAATGGCATGGAACGAGATGAGCGAGAGTGGAGCAAGATTTTCTCTGAAGCTGGATTTTGCGATTACAGAATAATACCAGTCTTAGGTGTTCAATCCATAATCGAGGTCTATCCTTAATCATTTGTTTAATTTAAAGATGGTTCATAGTGGCATGGAGCTTGTGTGCTCTCTGTCAAGATATGTATTCAACAATCGTATATTTATATATACACGTATGGAAGCCTTGTACTCTATAAACCTGTTTTCTTTGGTTTGTTTCCTCAAACTAGCCATGCTAAGGCCAGTTTGGTAGGCCAGTCTGATTCAGTATTTTCTTTAAGCATATACCAACCTTATTTACTATCTCCGTCCAAAAGGAGTGAAATTCTAGATTTAGATTGAGTCAACTTCTTTAAATTTAACTAAATTTATAGAAAAATATTTTTAACCAATTGATATAATATAAAAATATATTTAATTATTAATCTAATCAGAAAATGTTAGTACTTTACTATATAGATTTTATCAATCTTAAAATCATTTGACTTCTCAAAAAGCGTAAATTGTATTCTTTCTATAGAGGGATAATATTTTGTACCGAGGGATAGTATTTTGTAGATGAAAGTCAAGAACAACGGTCCCATTTTCCTCAACAGGCATGACCTGCATTTTCTACGCTGCACGATGTTTAATTCTCCTGTTTAAAAGCAATGAAGTAAACACAATCTGAAAAGAAAGTAGAATGCATCATAAAAAAAAACATTCGCAGCTATCAGACGCTCAAACTTGTGCCTCATCAGAACCATGTCACATCTCACGATCAAGGCAACCTCCACACAGTATGAATATACTTGCTGTCTCTTCGTTTATGTTTATGAAGCCAGGACAGATGGCCAGTCCATGATCAAAAAAGTCACTAGCCAAAACTAGCGACATGTTGTCACAAGACTAGTGTTGAATTACACCGAAAACTCAGATTACATGCTGAAGGCTTATACCATTTTTCATGGAAGATTATGATCCCAGTAAAACACTCCGACACATGCCTCACAAGACACACACACCATTCCCCAAAATTATATACTCTCTGAAGATGGCCTCCAGGAGAGACAACCCAAGATGCTATCGTTTTGGGATGTCCCCAGGCAGGAACATGGTGGCGGCACTGAAGACGGTGAATTGCCCTTGTAAGTTGCTTTTTGCTTGCATTGACAGCAGTTGTTCAGAGTGGATGCCTGCCTACCTTCAAGTTTGGGTCATGAATCGTGGGATGTGGTGCTCCAAGATGGCCAAGAGTTCTCTGCTTTGGCTATCCCTTTCCACTTGCCGGTCCTCGAGCCTGCTTGCAGCCTCCACAAGCTGACCTCTAAGCCTTTGAGGCAAAAGTCGCCCACTGGAATTCATGCATTCCTTATAGAGTGGCAGGTAGGCCATGGCAATTACCAGCTCAAGAGGGAGGTCCCCTAGGCGGATTGGTGATTCACCCCTTTCCAGTACCCTCATGAAATTAACAAAGTGCTGTTGTGCAGATTCGAATCCCGCAGAAAAGGCTGCCTCGCTCCAGTGCTCATTCATGAAAGACCTAAGCTTTGCATCCACAGCTTCATCGGTACATCTTGCAATACTGTCTGCCACGGCATATGTGGCAGCTGGGTCATTGAGGAAGTCCGAGCGGAGAAGAAAATCGACACCATGCAGGGAACCTGTACTCCTCTCACCAGCAGCCTTGATAATCTCAATGCTGAGGGGGGCAAGAACATGTTGCGGGACAAGAGGAAGAAGATAAGCAGCAACTGCAATCTGGCTACTAGAGGTGGCAGCAGTAAGGGCTAGACAAAGCTCCATTTCTCGACACCCATGGTTGACAAACCATTCCACAACTTGGAGGCATCCACGTTCAGCAGCACGCATCAAAGGGCCAAGAAAGCCAACAGCATTACCTTCTTCAACCAAGCACCCCATGGTTTCGATCTTCCCATAGTGAGCGGCAAAGCCAAGGGCTAGATCCACATCAATGTCCAGGCTGTTTCTTTGAGCAATCTGAACAGAAGTACAAATAATGAAATGTATTCAAACGCTTTCAACTGTCATTTGTGTAAGATATAAATTTGCACCAAGAGATAAAATAATGCAAAACTCACTAAACACATGATAAAATTGGACAACCTGTCAACCTCATAATGAAGACATCCAAAATGTTTGCACAAGAAAGGAAAAGAACCCACCACCCAGTTTATAAAGTTTTCATATTCAGAAATGGCCCAACCACAATAAACTGCACCCATGGTTATTAAGGGGTAAGTCGAGCCGCGGCGACCCGCCCATTTGAGTTGACTAGGCGTCTAAGGCACGCGGCGAGGCGACGCCATACGATCATCTTAATATATATAATATATAATACCACTAAAATTAAGAAGATCATATCTTAGTATTGCTAGCTTTTAGCATGTAATACCATAATAAGTAGTGCTAACAGAGTGCTAGTGCACGGCATAAAATAGCAAATCTGAAATCTCCCATCACTCAATAACAACAAATTAGTCTCTAATGACATAATATCACTCAAAAACCTGAGCACTTCCACTCAGTATCTATAAAACAAAGCACAAGCAGAGGAGAAACAGAGGAAGAGAAGGGAAGCAGAGGAAGAGGAAGGAAGCAGAGGAGAGGCAGAGGAGAGGCAGGTAAAGAAACAAAGGAAGAGGAGAAAAAAGAGAAAATGTTGCATATGCACCTGTTCCGTGACCTTGCAACGCCTTGCTGAGGTAGACGGGAACCAACAGAGGGGAAAGGGCCGTGAATCAATCAGCAGAGAAGATGGAGGACCAGAGGAGGCACCAATCAGGGGCGCAAATCAGTGGAGAAGAGGAAGGGAGCGAGGTTCGATTCGATGGAAGGAGGTGCCAATCGATGGAGCAGAAGAGGCGCGCCACCAAGAACCAGATGTGTGCTGCCCTCTTCTGTTTCCCCTTCCCTTCAATTGGCGCATGTGAGAGATGGCTGATGGCCTTGCAGAACCTGCAGGCTCGCGATTTCCTGCAGGCGCGCAGCCTCTTCGCGCGCAGCGCCATTTTCCTTTGCGGACCCAATCTTCAGCGGTTCCGCTCCCGTGAAACTCCCGCACTCGCAGCCATGCCCAAGCCACTTTTCCCACGCGGACCCAATCTTCCCGCTCCCACGCCTAGGCCCCGGCTTCCACGCTCGTGCGGCGTCCGCCTTAGGCCGCTCGGACCTGGAACCTCGCCAAATCCCGCCTAGGAGACGAATTCCAGCGCAAGGCGGACGGCATAGCCTGCTCGGTCGTGGCGAGTCCGACGCCCAGCCTGGGAACTCGCCTGGACGACTAGTCGACGACTAGGCGACGACTTAAAAAGCATGACTGCACCGCAAAACTTTATTGGATTTTACAAAGATGCACATGCATCTCTATCTGGATTTGGCCTACACCGAGTAATATGAATTACAATGATACTTCACTTATATGTTAGCTATTTAAATCTTGTACTATAACTATAATGTGTTTGATACAAACACCATATCAACAGGCAATGCAGGTTAGTTTAATTCAGGAAGACAGGAACACGTTCCATTGTGGGTTCATGACTCCACTATGCTTAGTCTTATACACGAGAAATTTGGTTATTGCAGATATCCTGTGAGAAGATTACCGAGTGAAATGATAATATCTTGAGCTAATATTTAAGGGGATGGGATTTGATCTAATTAAACTCACAGAGCTGACTTATACTAAATCTTAAGTGTCAGAGGTTCTCTGATGTAAGCATGAGATCTTGCACCTCAACTGCCAGTACCATTAGTCCATTACCAACCTACTATTTGTCACCAAGAGTATGGATCAGGTTATTAAGCATCCTACCAACTAATCTGCAAGGACCATGGATCTATACCCAGTTCTGGAAGTTTCATAATTCAGAATAGATAACAAATGACATGACACATGAAACTGAAGCATGTCCTGTACCAATATATTATTAAGTCAACACTGCAAATGGCCCAAAAGAAAAGGTCTCAGAAGGAAAGAAAAAATGTCTAGCAAAGAGTAAATCATGTACTGCAGAAGGTATTGTATTCATCTAACTACGATCTGAATCCGATGACTACCAGGGACCACTGTGTGGGGCAAGCAATCAAGAACCATTTATTATTGCTGCGTGCATGTACACTACCTGCTCAATAGGGAATAATCATATGGTCGCAGAAGTCATTTAGGACATTGACATGGTATCCAATATAACACTGTGACTTGTAAAATCTATGAAATCATTATCTCAAACAAAAAGAACGATATGTTCTGAAAAAGTCTGTTTAGTGATGAATATAGTAATATCGATTTTGTGTTCTTAATCTACATAATTTGTTATTTATTTATGGTCAAATAAAAAGATCAATAAAACCAGTGCACATCCTAAAATGATTTATATTTGCACCAAGAACTTGTATTAAACCAAATTGCATGAGTAGACTATAAGGTTACCTGAAGTAAGATCCGCACAAGCTCAGTGCTGCCATACCGTGCAGCTTCAAGAAAGCATTGGTTTACATTGTCTGCACCACCCTCTACCAACAACTCTAAAAGCCCTTGTACTGCAGCTGCTGATATTCCTGATGCCCATCCTTGGTCGAAGGTGGTTGAAAAGAGTGTAAGAGGGAAGCATGCAGCATCAAAAGCCTCCGTAAAATCCTTCCCAGTAAGCTCATTATCAGCAAGATCAAGAAATGTCTTGAAAGCAGACAACTGAAGCTGAACCTCGATGACAGTGTCGTGGTTTCCTTTGCCCCTATTCTCTCGAACACGCGAATGCAGCCTGATACACTTTAGAGCCCATTCTGTAAACCTGTGCACCTTTGCACTTGCTTCTGCTTTCAATACCTCATCACCTTGGGATTCTTGAAGTCGTTCATGCAATCTGAAACATACAGAACAATGATTCACAGTTGCCCAAATATGTTATTCAAGTGGACTTATTGGATTCAGTAAGACTCCTGGAATTATAAAAGCACGCAATACTTGTGAGTTGTGAACATGTAACCATTGGAGCTGTTTCCGACAAACTTACTTCTGACCCATGAAGCTCACTGCATCAGCAAGGCTAGTCGACCGTCCCCTACATGCCGATACACACGATGCGAGGAATGATGTCCGGAGCGCAGCACGGGTAAAATCATTTGCACCCTCAGACACAATCCTCCTGATCAACCCCACAATAGCAAGGAGCTCGTCCTTGTCACTCAAGAACCAAATCGCATCCACCGCCACACAGAGCACATCGTTGAGCCCTTGTGCATCGGCCATTCCTACCAGCCCCTCTGCAGTTTCCCAATCATGGGAGCTGACTGCGTGCTGGAATGACCGGCAAAGCTCAACCCGGTCCTGCCTAGAGAGCTTCCTCTCCTCCTGCTGTGCCCCACTCTCCTCCCCATTGACAAGGTCCAAGTCCAGCTCCTTCCCAAAGTCGGCGCTCACCGATCTCCGCTTCTTGGCCACACAGCCCTTGGAGTTCTTGGAATCCATGGGCGGCAAGGGGCTCTCTTTGGAGCTGCCATTGTTGCCATCAACAATCATGACGCCGCTCTCGGCAGCCTCTGGCTCACCCATGTCCACATCCGACGATGCCAGCAGCTCCTCCCGCCTCGGGTTCTTGCTCTGAACCTCCTTCCCCTTGGATCCAATCTTCTCGCAATAAACGAGCCACCCATTAGGTTTCGAAATGAAATTTTTTGGGGGAACTGAAGAAAAAGACAAGCCCACACAAATCTCTACATACGAATCGAATCGCTACTCACCTGCAAATCCTTCCTTCTGTCCACTTCCATCCCTACCCCCGATCCAAATCCAAACCTGAGAAAATTTCCCCAAAACGTCACATAAATGGATCGAGGAACCGGAGCCAATAAATGAGCACGAAACAGATCGAACCCACCTAAGGGAACAGAGAAGGAGGATTCAGCACCGCACGGCGCGCGGAACCCGAGTGGACGGCAAATCCTTCCTGGCGCAAATCAAGAACCGGACAAGAAAACCCCAGCAACAGTCGCCACCTGCAAGAACAGATCGAAATCAACCGAATTAGGAGCGGCAGGAATCGGCCGCCCGACGGGCAACCAAAAGGGGAAGAACCAAAATCGAAAACAAGGCGCGCGGATTCGTAACCGTACCGGCAACCGATACAACAAGGACCTTTTTTTGTTTTCTTTTTTCGCGAATGAATTAGAGGAGAAGCATAGGAGAGAAAGAGGAGCGGTACGGGGATGATGATGATGATGATAGCTGTGTGATAGGACGAATTGATGAGCTGATATCGAAAGGAGGGGGAGGAGGAGCCACTGCCTGCCTCGCTCGCCCCCGTGCGGCCCGTGCGGCTCTCTCTCTCTCTCTCTCTCTCTCTCTCGTTGAGGGGGAGGAAGAAGAAATACGCTCACTCTCTCTCTCTCTTCTCCCTCTGTGTTGTGCTCGCGCACAGACCACCACCACCACCACTACTCTCGCTCGCTCGCTCTGCCTCCCTCACTTTTCTTGCAGCTTTTTTTTTTAAGACCGTCTCCAACAACCACCAACCAAACTCGTTCGTTATTCGACAGCGCTACAGATAAAGGATTTAATATTTATTTTTAGTCTTCTTAAAAAATAAGATCTAAAAGATAATTTTTTCTGCAAATAGTTTTTTAAAGAGAGAATACTCATATTTAAATTATGTCTCTCCTGAAATCTAAAATGAGTCTTCCTTATATGTACTTGGTTAAAGACTATAGACATTATGTTGGAGACTCATTTTATGTTTGGGTTCCACAATTAGTCTCAGACAGCCTTAGCGGTGTTGGATTCGGTTTCTCTAAAAAAAAATGTGTGTGTGACATTGCACGTTCGATTTTAACTTTTCAATAAAACCCACTGAAAAGTGGAGTGATTTTCTAGATACTTGAAAGCTCGTTTAATTATAGAGGTAAAAACTCTATTCTTAGTGTGATTTTTTTGTTACCCTTAATTACAAAAATGAATATACAAAAGTCTTTAAAAAAAGGTAAAATTTGCTATCGGACATGCCAAGTGACCCCTCTTTGCTAGCGGACATGCAAAATTTGACGATTTGCTGATGGATACTCTGTTTTCTTACAAATTTGCTAGTGAACACCCCATCCAATAAAATATTAATTTCTAGCTGCTATGGAGAGAGAAGGACGGTAAAATATCCAATTTGCCCCTGCCCTTTCTTCTACACCTCTTTCTTCTTCCCCATCACTCTGCTCTCGAAAGCAGACACTGGCGTCCTCCTTCTCCCTCTCCGAAAGCACACCTCGGCCCCATAGCGCCATGCCGTCGTGCGGTTGCCCCTCCTCAGCCGCAGCCGTCCTCCCTCCCCTCCTCCCTCCCCTCCGAAAGCAACACCATGGCCAGCTAGCCATGCCAGCATGCCCACCTGTCGCTGCCTTGGGCTGGGCGTGCCACCGAGGCTCCTCCCGCGTCCTGCACCGGACCCGTGTGGACCGAGCCTACCACCCGCCACCACACCCGCCTCGTTCGATCTGTTCATCCCAGCTGCGCGTCGAGTTCAGGCGCCATTGTGGCCATTGCTGACGTGAAGCTCGCGACCGGCTCTCTCCTCTCTCCTCCGCCCCTATAAAGAGCGCCTGGACTCTGTCTCTCTCGCTTTCATTGCGTCTGCCTCGCCCTCCCGAGCCCCCCACTTTGCACAAGAACTACACTTGCCACCGCATGGCCGCCATTGATGAGAATTTAAGCGGTTTAAGTTTTAAGTGCGATGCCGCCATCCTTCCTCCCCGCCCTATTTAAGGGAAGCACACGCGACCGCGACGCCGCCGCCACCACTCCTTCCCTCCTCGAGCCTCCTCTCTTGCTCCGGTGCCTCGAATCGCCGCCGCCGCCATGGCCGACCACTCGAGATCATCGATCTCCCGTGCACACCTCCTTTCGCCACCCCCTTGTTTCCTCCATTGGAACCGCAGCGGCATGGCACGCACCCCGCCAACCCCTCAAAGGCCTCGATTCAAAGCCGCAACACCTTCCCCCGCCCTCGTCCTCGCCGGAGCTCCAAAGTGAACCATCGCCGTTGCTTCATCTTTCCTGACACGAAGGCGAACACGACCATCCGATCCGAGATGGGCGATTCAGATCCTATGTTGACCACCGGTCAACGAGTCAAAGGTGAGGCCACATCACCTATATGAGCCAATCCTATCGCGCCACGTAGCCGTCAAATGCCACATCGGTGAAGTCAAGCCCGGTGATCACGGTTTTATCGTCGTGGGCCTCGCTGCGTGGCGGAAGAAAGGAGACCAAGGTAGAAAAAAACAAATGTAAGGCAGAAAGGACATTTCCCTTGCTTCTCTCTCCTCGAAAGCCTGGAAATGAATATTTTATTCGGTCCGGTGTCCACCAGCAAATTTGTAAGGAACCAGAGTGTCCATCAGCAAATCGCCAAATTTTGCATGTCCGCTAGCAAAGAGAAGTTACTTGGCATGTCCGGTAGCAAATTTTGCCTTAAAAAAAAGTAGTACATGACTCCGTTAAAACTTGAGTGGCTAATAACCGTACATTTTATTGCCCTCATCGATTGTTCTTGCTACTATAGCCTACCAGACACAGCTACACCACAGAGCAATCAGAAGTTGCATAGCAGCAAGCGGTAACAGTCGGAGTAGCACTTCTCATGAGAGCCCATGATACTATTTAGAACCTATTTAGCAGGACTACGAGCTTTAGATGACCGTTGGCAGAGCTCTTGCTACTCCTCATGAGAGCCCATGATACTATTTAGAACCTATTTAGCAGGACTACAAGCTTTAGATGACCGTTGGCAGAGCTCCTTGCAAGAAGCCAGGAGAAGTTCGAGACAAAGCTCTACCAAATAGGACATTAGTGCTACTATTTAGAAGTCTTGAAAGATGTAAAATTGGTTGTGCCTAAAGATGCAAATGGATTGGATCGACATGGATAATGTCACTTCCATATTCTAATGCATTTTTCTTTATCAGATTGGATCGAAACAGATAATACACAGATGTAAATGCTAATGTTGATTTTTTTTAAATGTCGAGAATGGTACGAAGATAGAGTCACTCCTAGAAATATTTACTTCTATGACGAAAATCTTAATGACGAATCCTAAATCATCATAGCAGATCGTCTTTTATGATGAATATTTCCGTTTCGTTATAGATCAGTGGTGACGATCCTGCAACCCTCCCTTTCTATGATGAAATCATTCATCGTAAAAAAACATCATAGAAGAGCGCAGGGTTTCATCACAAATCATTCACGTGACTGATCTGTGATGGTCTCGTTTAAACCTATGACGAACAGGGCTTCGTCATTGAACTAATTACACATCTGTGACGGACAATATTCGATCTGTAACGAACGGCTTCGTCATAGATCTCTAATTGTACTTTCTCCATCCGACGTGTACCTGTGGGACCTACAGTTACTCATCCGTGACGCTTGCAATTCATCATAAAAGTCTTCGCTCGATCCTTTCTCCATGCGACGTGTACATGTGGGACCCTTTTCTCCATCCGATGTGTATCTGTGGGACCTACAGTTACTCATCCGTGATGCTTGCAATTTGTCATAAAAGTCTTCGCTCGATCCTTTCTCCGTCCGACGTATACCTACGGGACCCTTCAGCATCCGACCTAATGGACCCGATGCCTTATGTGTCACATGTACCTATGTGATCATTCTCTATTGTGACAGAACCGCCTAATCTAATGTCCTCCCAAGAGTACTTGTCTTCCATTAGACATCAAGTACCCAAGAGAGTGCACTAAATCATGCCGTTCCGTCGAGCGCACCCCAAGAAAGAACTCAAAATCCACATTTTTCTCTCAGGATCATAAATGAGTGGATAAAGATTACAACATTCTTAACCATTTCTTACATCACTTTATTACAATATTAGAGTATTACACAAGTTGAATGCAATAGTAGAATTAAAACAGTTTACATGTAAACGAGTTATACAATTAGGTTCACAAGTTTTATCTTGCAGCGTAACACCAACATGTGATCAGAGTTACGGAGGAAACAAAGATTAACTTAATGACATGGTGGAGCATTAACATCATGGCCATTTATACACAAGATATCCTAGCAAATTTTACACATTTTCTTATAAACCTTTTAGTGAGGGTTGTAATTAAACACTACGATCGCAGCGTGAAAGGAATCCTCTCTGAGCCCACTAGGAGGTTTCGACATACAAGAGTCAGCTCTAGCATCCGCTTGTCACCTGCAACAGGTAAAGTAAAATCTTGAGTACTCGATTATACTCCGCAAGACTTACCTGACAGGAGAAAATAAAAGACTCCAAGGATATGCAAGGCTATCTGGCTTACTGGTTATTACATTGCAGAAAGCATTACTAATAGTATATCCTTATGTACAGGTTTTAGCAGATATTTTTAGTTGATTAGCAAATCATTCTAGGTAAGCACATATGCTACTTTCAAGCATGTCGTAAGAAATCAGAACTATTTTACCATCTTTCATATTCCAGTTCTTACTACGGTGCTAGACCATAGCAAAGTCGGTACCATCTCAAAGAAACAACGATTCGTGAATCAATGTATCCTAGCTGGGTACCTCGAAACACGCGCTCCACTTGTACCCTAGGCACAAATAGAACCAACTCTTCTCACTCCTGTCAAGGGGTCTAGGTCCCTGTCCAATGGACTCTAAGCCTCCAAAACCTGAGACCCGGTCTCAGTATGGTGCTTAGTCCTCCACCTAGCACCCACCCTAAAGTCGGTCCAAAAAGAGCCAGAACCCATGACAAGAGAGTAACAAGTCTTTCTGCTTCCATAAGCAAGTATGTGCTCAGGATAATAAGTATGTGACCTGACTAACATCCACAACAACGGATAGTCCTCAATCAACACAGGCGGGACAAATGCAACCAGAGCCTCGCTCGATTGCCTATCCAAGTCCAAATCCAAAGTATGGTCCCGCCCGGTCTCTAATTATTATCCATATATATTTTATGTGATAGTAACATGATAATAGTAACAATATCTTTTTCTATCTCTCACAAGTGATAGGTAATCACTCGACTTCTATCGGGATTCTATAGCATAGCAATCTACATGATCCTATCATACTAGTAAGACTCATAGGATAAGGATATATAAATGCAAGTGGATTTCATTCATCTCCTTTAAACTTAATGCACAAGCATAAAATAAACTGCAGAATAATAGAGGTTATGCATCGGGGCTTGCCTGGGTAAGATTTAACCAAAGATTAGCATTCCATCGTGGCGTCACGATCATCAAGGCACCATCTTTTCTGCTACTCCGGTCGATTCTATGATCCATCGTTGTTCCTATTATGATATACACAGATGCAACGCAGAGACGTAATTAATCAACGACAACCGCAACTCTAAGAATACGATTATGCCTCGCAAGCTAACGAGATAGCTCTAATAACTAACATACTAGGCTAGGCGTCGTTCTCCGGAAAATGTTTTAGCTCTACAATCCCAAGATGTTTAGGCATTTTATTAATTATATATATATATATATATATTTGAACTATGGCTCATTTAGCTACCTTAACAACTAATTAGTATGGAGCTACAAAAATTACAGTGGGCACCTAATAATGTTAGAAATTTACTGTAAAATTTGTAAAGCCAACACTATCACCAATTTATCACAATAATTCCTACCAATTTATGTTTTAACAATATTAAGCATCTCAATTTAATTAGATTACTCTTGAAAATACTATGAAGCTATGTGAACAAAATATACTAGCAAATAGATCATGATTTTAGAAACCTAACTAAATTGGTTTCACATTTTTTGGTCAACTACACAAATTTATATCTTCGGGTTCATGCCCGGTGGCGATCAAAACGTTAAATTGGCTGCCTACAAGGCTCGTCAAGAAAACATGTGCCACTCAACACCACTACAACATATACCATGCCCAAGTACTCACTTAGAGGCAACCAATAGTGCAAGAACGTGAAGCTAGTGTTTAAACATTTTAGTTAGAATTTAAATACCAAAATAGCATTGTCTACCATCCTTTTCGACTAAGAAAAGGACAAGGGTTCAATTAGAATTAAACAACCATTAGCACTTTTGTCATAATTTTTAAGGGGCCTAAACCCTATCAATTCCAACCAACAAGTATTTCACGCAATATTCCATACCTAATACTAACCTATAGTAGCAAAATACTTAAGCACTATTTAACTATTTTGCTCAATATAATTCATCAAAAATGACACTTTAACTACAATTTCAACTTCTAGCCGATTCAACGAAAAGTTCTAGTTTAAATTTTGGATTCGATTTTTGAGCTCCCAAAAACACTAGTTAACAATATTCACTTTCCAAAATTAAAGTTGCATTCTCATCTTCACTATTTACTCATCATCTTTATCTAAGCGCCATACACAAGCCATATTTTATTTTTGTTTACAGAAATTGTTTCCGTACCAAACCATTAAAACTATTTATTTTATTCTTTTTGTTAGAATTTTCATTTCACGTGTGTTTT